TTTAGTTTAGACAAAATTTGTGCAGTTATTATTTTGTAAAAATTTTATTATTTTTATGGAAATAAAAGTTGCATATTTATCATTTTGTAATATATTTGCAAAAATAGATGTTGCGAATTAAAATATTCAATCAAATTTTTACAAATAATAAATGCGCAAATTTTGTCAGGTCTAAAAGTCAAAAAAAATGAAGAAATCGGAAATCAGTAATCGGAAATCGTGATTACTTTTATTTTGAATGATCAAATTTCACATAATTTTGCAAACCGCAATAATCGATTAACCAACTAATCGATTAATCGATTAATCTGTTCGTTGGTTTTATGTTAATTAGTTTTTTAATAAAATATTTATCAGATTTATATTATTACGGTTTGCAAAATTATGTGAAATTTGATCATTAAAAAAAAAAGTAATCACGATTTCTGATTACTGATTTCCGATTTCTTCAACATTTTTTTGACTTTTAGATTAGACAAAAATTGTGCAGTTATTATTTTGTAAAAATTTTATTATTTTTATGGAAATAAAAGTTGCATATTCTTTTGTAATATATTTGCAAAAATAGGTGTTGCGAATTAAAATATTCAATCAAATTTTTGCAAATAATAAATGCGCAAATTTTGTCAGTCTAAAAGTCAAAAAAAATGTTGAAGAAATCGGAAATCAGTAATCGGAAATCAGTGATTACTTTTTTTTTTAACGATCTTCAAATTTCACATAATTTTGCAAACCGCAATAATAATTGGGTCAAAATTGTTAGTCGATTAGTTGCCAACTCAGCCAACTAACCGATTAATCGATTTTCGATTCATATCACTTGAGGAAGGATGGTGGAAGAAGGAGAAGATAATATAAACCACAGAATCAAGTTGGCCTTTCCTGACAATAAAATCTGCATCAAACTACTACAGATATATAGTTACCTTATTATATCTAATACGCTTTATACATTGCTTTTTTTTAGATATTCATTACAATTTGTAAAAGATGTTTCAGAATCTATATAACGTCTCAAAAACATCAAGGCTTCAATATTTCAGAACTTCAAGATATATGCTAACCATATTTAATCGTGATTATGTAACTCAACGACAATTAGAACCTCAGAAAAAAATCAAAGAAATTTCGATTCAATTTCAAGAGACGAGAGATTTGCAAAATTCAAATTACGTTGAAATTAAAGGTGAAGGTCTAACCATTGAAAATGTGATACAGGTGGCTCGTTTTCGTCGTGAAGCTCGTCTCACCACTAATAATACCATTCGAGAAAAAGTAACAATCTCGAAGAATTATATTGATAAAATTAT